CTCGATCGACGCGAAATGCACAATTCCACGCCTTCGCCGTCCTGACACGGGCGTATATTGGGTAGTTGCTCACAACATCATCAGGAAAGCCAAGAGGTCTCAACGCCGCCCGCAAGCTCCGCAACCATCGCCGCGAGGGACGATGGGCCGATCTCCACTACAAGAAGCGTCTCCTCGGAACCGCCTACAAGTCGTCTCCCTTCGGTGGATCTTCCCACGCCAAGGGCATCGTCCTCGAGAAGGTCGGTGTTGAGGCCAAGCAGCCCAACTCCGCTATCCGAAAGTGTGTCCGTGTACAATTGATCAAGAACGGAAAGAAGGTCACCGCTTTCGGTATGTCATTATGCGGAGATTGAAGAGGCATCGGCGACGAGCCTGTGGCAACAATGAGAGCGTGGGCTAATAATCTGCCAGTTCCCAACGACGGTTGCTTGAACTTCGTCGACGAGAACGACGAGGTCCTCCTTGCTGGTTTCGGTCGTAAGGGCAAGGCCAAGGGTGATATTCCCGGTGTGCGTTTCAAGGTCGTCAAGGTTTCCGGTGTCGGTCTGTCCGCACTGTGGAAGGAGAAGAAGGAGAAGCCCAGGTCATAGAGGACTCGTCTGCAAGGAGTCAAGGAAGGAAACGAACGTGGACCACAAGCCCGCCATGAACGAATGATGGAATCCGCGGATCACTATGGGGGGTTACCGGAGTCTTTACATCGGGGTTATCTGTGCTTCTACCCGGCATATGAAAAGTCATGATATGCTGGAGAGTTAGATAGAATCTGACTCGTTCAAGCGCCCACTCCGTATGCGTATGCCATGGAGTGATGTTGGGTGTGTTGACATGCCGTTGAGGACTTGGTATTGAATGTGATGAACCCAATACATTTCAGGTTTATGTTGTCCATGATTCATTGATCGAGAAAGAACACTGCTGTACACAAACCTCCGTATAGTAACAAACTCCGACCAATGCAACATAGGAAAGAAGCGCCGCCGGGTATCTCAAACAAAACGCCAACCACCTATGCAATCTTAGCAATCCTTGCGTGTGCAGTCCATCTTATTTCGTAAACATGGCATTAAACGTGTCCTCCAGTCCAGTGTCCTTCATAGTCCCGTAGTATTCGTACTTCAGCTTCGGGCTGGCGAAGAGCTCAGCATCCCTCTTCACGTTCTTCGGTACACCGAAGCCATCCAGACCCGGTATCTCTCCCGCACCTCCTTGCGCCTTCTGGTCTCCTTTGAAGAACTTGGGTGCGTTTTCCTTGAGAGGAGGCGCCCAGACACTCGGTTTCCAGGGGTTAGGTTTTTGGTTGGCGCCGAGCGAGGGTGGCGGCGGTGCAGGGACCCGGTGACGGAATGGATTCGGGTCTGGTTTTGAGAAGATGGAGTGGGGTTCTCTGAAACGAGGGGGTGTTGCTGGCTGACGAGATGTCGTCTTGGAGAAATGGTTGGGTATAATCTCTGGGGGTTGTGAAGAGAACCGACTTCCAGAATTCTTGGTCGGTGTCCAGTCCATGTCATCTGCGCCCAAGAATGTAGATCGCTGGGCATAGGGTGTGGTGACGTCGGTAGCATGTGTGGTGAAGGAGGCTTCTGAGATGGTGGGGGACGGGGGAAGAGGGGAGGACTCCTTGCACTGATCCATGCCATTTACAAAATCGGGCGCTATACTGTCGAAAACGCTTGCTTGAGGATGAGCTGGGTGGTAAGAGCCTCTTCTTGCCTTCTGTGCGCTATCGGGTGCGCTGGGTACGGGTTCGCGAGCCGTTTTCAGAAAAGAGGGCGGGGCGCCGTAGACTATGCGGACCGCCTTCCATGTCATGATAGACGAGAAGGTCAATATTCCGAGCATACATACATGTGTGTACCGGAATAGTGTCAACGTGTCGTTGTTGATGGTGTGACCTTTCCAGTAGTAGAGGGTTAGGAAACGAAGAGCCACGGCAGTAATTCGAATCATCCATAGTGACATGAGCCCGCGCATCCTGCCCGTAAGGCTGTTCGTCTTGAGCTTCAGCTTGGGGTTCCACCAGATTGTGAGAGCATCGGCGATAATCGCAAAGTTCAGCCACTTGAGTATCACGGGCGAAAGTACACAGATTTCGTCCATCCAGCATCCCGACTTTGCCTGAGTCCAACAAGTATCCCAGCTGAAAACTTGGTACGCCCGTATACCCTCATCCGGGCCCATGTAAAGTCCAGCAGCATGCCAGACAATTCCTATTGCTGTGCTCACGACGTAGGTCCACTTCGCCAGCGAAATGAACCTCAATGTCCATGCTTGTCTGTGGGTGTGTACAGTTGTGCGCTTCTGTTTACTCGCTTCCATGATACGCGCCAGGTTATCTGCTCTGGCAATATGGTTCGCATTCCGGATCTGATGTTGGACTCGAGGCAGACATTCGCTGCAGACCTGCGGGTACCGGGTCTCGAGCTCGTCCTTGTAGTCCTCGTACGCCGCTAAGAATTGCCCATACGTCGGATCATCCTCTTCCGGAAGGTACTCGCCCAAGAGCTTTGCGTAGAGGGTCTGGTTGCGCTGACATGTGTCGCAGAAGATGTCGTCACCGGGTACGGACATGGCGGGTGTTGGGGAGCGGGAGCGCAGGTGTTGGAACGAGGCTTGAGGGGCGGTCGCGACTTCTTCGATGGGCGGATCGGTGATGTTTCCGCGCTGGGCAGCAGGTCAGTTGGAGAGGTTCGGGTGTTTATGCGGTAGAGTAAGTACTTCGTCGAAGTGATTCACGGCGTCGCATTGCGGACAGTGAAATGTCTTGGGTATTTGTGAGACAGTGTCGCGTGACAGTGTATTGCAGTAATGGCAGCGCAGTCTGCGCCGTAATAGCGCCATGGTGGGAAGACACCTGAAGTGCGTGGTGATGGCTAGGGTTGATGCACCATGTCATGGGCGACGTGTTTTGGATTCTGCCGAGGCGGCCACACCGCCCGGGCGCCGGCGCGGAATTTTGGCTCACCAGGTCGAATGCACTGTTCACCACTTCTGGAGGGACGACTGCCGACAATCCATCGCCGTGGAAACGACACCGGCTCGAACCTCACGACACAGCGTCTCCATCTCATCTCCCCGGTCGTATCCGCCACTACACCCCTCGCCGCCCGCCATTCGATGGCTCGGTAGTCCGCAAACCCTCGCATCTCCATCTCCACCGCCGCCATCCCGCCCACCATGAGCCAATTGATCGTCAGGCCGGGGCGCAACGCCGCCCGTCAGGCCAAAAAACTCAAAGAGATCCGCAATGTCAAAAACGCAATCCAATGGCACGAGCGGGAACGCAAGAAGCGCCAGGGACTCAAACAGGACAAATGGGAAATCAAGCGAGCCATCCTTGCGCGTAAAGCGTGGGAACAAGAGCGCATCAAGGGTGTCAGGAAGCAAGCTCTGGCCAATGCAAAAGAGGACTGGAAACTTGGTCCGTTGAGGCCAAATCGCGCCGTCGGCCCAGATGCTGAGAAATACGGTGTCCTCACCGGCGGCCAGGTGCAGAAGCCTGAGATACCTATCGAGGCCCAGAAGAGCCGGAACGCTTTTAGGGAAAAGAAAGGCCTCGAGCTCGAGTACCCGCTGGTCGTGGACGATAAGAAATACTTTCCCATTGTGAAGGGTGATCGTGTCGTAATTCTGAAAGGAAAAGAGGCGGGCAAGGTCGGTGTGGTACGAGAGACCATAGATCGATCACACGACGTCGTTATTAAGGGCATGAACTTGGTATTTATCGCCTAGCTGTGTCATCAAGTTTGAGTGTTAACATTTGCCAGCAATACTTCGACACTAGTCTATTTAGTAGTGCTGCCGAAGAGATGGGGCCCAAGGTAGAGAACGAGGTGCCTATGCCCTTGAGCAATGTACGTCTCGTGGTACCCGCCGAGATAGACCAGGGAGGCCAGAAGCGTTACGAGGACGTCGTGGTCGAGAAGATCTACATGGAGCGGCATACCACCGGCATTGATCCATACACCGGTACTGACTACGGGAACGACACAATACCCGAAGCACACCAATACGATCCTCGAACTGGACTTCCCATCTTCCACCGATACATCGCAGGCACACGGCAACGACTGGAATGGCCATGGGAACGTGTGGAAGGAACTGAAGCTGTTGGTACCACAAAAGAAACAAGCAAAGACAAGAAAACATTACTCAAAAAGGCCCTGGCCAAGGTGAGCCAGCCGTTCACGAGCTTGAGTCGTTGGCGGAGCAAGAACAAGGAGGACCAAGCTCAACAAGACGCAACGAATAGCAGGAGCCCAGTCGACCTCGAGGCAAAATTCGCCGAGATTCAAAGGCAAGAGCAGGAACGATTCAAGACCGCCGCTCCAATAAGCATAGACCCCGAGCTTCCTTCGGCCTATGATGTGGACACAAGACGAAACATTGTCGAAGGTTCGCAGTCTATGGCTTATACGCTCGTTGCGCCACCTTTCCCCGACACGATTGCGGAAGAACTCCGTAGCGATATCCACGAGTTCTCTATCAAAGCGAAGAAGGACAGGGACCCCGAAGCACCGCGTCCTATCAAGGTTGCGCAACACTCCGAACAGGGTGTGGTCGCGCGAGAAATTGCAAAGCAAAAGCACAGAGCGGCACAGGCAATGAAGACGCCCATGCAATTGAGGTGGGAGCTGGAGCATCAGAAGAAGGTGCAGAGCCAGAAGGAGAAGCCGCTTGTCGACCAGGAGAGCTTGCTGGCGGCATTAGGTCAGCACATGCAGAAGAGTGCTACGAAGCCGTATTTGGGCAAGAAGCAGATTCCCAGTCAAACAGCCGACCTCGACTAGGGCCATTGCGACGATGGCATGATAACGCATCACGCCTGTGACACGAGACTTGTAGTATACCTTTTGTATATATAGCATGGATTGAAGCCGAAAACTCAGCTAGGCTTTATGTGGCCTATGGGGTATCTTCGCTGTAAATGTACATCAAACGCCTGCATCATGCATACCACGATCTATTGAACCTCTCCCTTGAAATCATCCTTGAGCTCACACGAGAATGCCCCAGTATTCCGCTCGTCCTCCTGCGCCCTCCAACTCCTCCCACTGCACCAGGAAGCGATCCACGACCTTTAGTAGTAGTTTCCCACTCAGACTCAGTGTCTTGACTCGTGCAAAACTCTCCACGTACACAGTCTTACACTTGCCCCTGCTGTTCGCTCCCTTGATGTTGAAGAAGCGCAGTATGAGGCTTGCGATAATAAGGATTACGGCCGTGGCTGGGCCGTTGGTGATGATGAGATCTGGGAGGTCGGCGGCTGCGGCTTCGTATGGCGTTGTAGGGGCTTGGCCGGCCAGAAGTGGTGGAGCACGGAGGAGAGGTGCAAAGGAAGATAGGAGGGTGTAAACTGAGGTGAAAGGCGTTGAAAGTAGTGGCTGGTGTATCTTGCGCGCGCGAGGGATGACGGCGATATTGTAGTGGTCTGGCCCAGTGCATATTGGCCTCTCTGCCCTCTTCTCTTCTAGCGCATGCGTTGTGCCGTCTGCATCTGTAATCTCCATCACCGGTCTTCTTCCCGTGCCGTCTGGTTGCACCACCTCTTTCTCCGATTCTTGCTTCCGCAGCCGTTCCTTCTCTCCATCTTCAAGTCCTCGCTCAAACTCCGCGGCGCGTTGTGCTGAGAACGCATCTCCGCTGCTGACCACGTATGTTCGGTGTGTGTATTTCCGTGTGTCTAGATCTCGCAGTAGGTAGAACATTTCGTGTGTATGTCCGCCCGATCCAAGAACGACGAGGATACGTGTTGCGAGCGGGCGCTTGCGCAGTGGTGTAGACTTTGAGCGCGCATTTGGAAGTATGGCAAGCAGACGTAGTGTTGCCGCGACCAGCAGAGTAGCGAGGGTTGCAATCGCGAAGGAGAGCGTGTAGAGTGAGGACGGCGGGGGTGCCATGGTGGGGTTGTCGCGAAGGATGAAGGTCAGGTTGGGGTGAATTGTTCCCTCGGTCGCATGTGCCAAGCTGAGGAATAACGGGATACTGTGTCTCAGGTTGAGCGCAAAAGCATCGTTGTCGTGGCTGTAAACTTCACCAGGTGAAGGTACGTGTCGCTGCATTTGGCCAATCGTGGGGACCTCGGGACCACGCGAAATCACATGCTCCAGACTTGGCGTGAGGGCAAGCCAAACAACCCATCCGCGTCTGATTCCACATGTTCCCCAACATCGTAAGTTCACCATAACTAAGAATCATGTCTGGTAGCGCAAAAATTTACATTCACTCGTCCAAGTTCCGCAAATCAACGACATGAGGATGCGCAGGCACCTACAACATCGGGCATTTCGGGACGCGAAATGCAAGCGGACTTGCTGCTAGGGCATCGAATGCCGTCCCTCCCCCTTTGAAGATCGCATGAGCCTTTCCAATGAGCAGAACATGTGAACCCCGTAAAGAGGTTTTTGGAAAAAAAAACATGAAAACGTCCTCATTTGGTTTTGGACGATGAGACCTCAGGTATGGTCTTGGAACAAGCAGGGTAGAATAAGAAAGAGGAATTTATATCCATGTGGTCAGACTACCAAGTGTTGAGACGATTGGTTCAGGGGAAAGCATCCATGTGTTCTAAAGGGAAATGAGGAGAAAATGTCATGGAACAATGCGTTGCTGTTTTAGAGACTCCGTCATCTCCAGTTGCATTAAATGTGTACATGGACTTGCTCTGTCATGCTTCTGGACGAGCGCACATTTGTTCTCCTGGTACGAGTTTTGAGACATCGAAAGGCAGATGCTACATAGTAAGTCTTGCACTCCGCACCATGAACGAGACAGACATAGCTTCCAATTTTTCAGGCTTTTCGCTTCATGTTGAGGAACAGAAGAGAGCAAAGGTTAGTTGGAGTTTCAGGCACCAAGGAAGCCGGCAGTCCGTCCCTTCGGCTGTGCTCTCATGTGGTGACTTTCGATACAGTCTTTGGAATAATCTCAACACATGAGGGCTACAATGCCATGATTTGGAGGTAGAACCAATATTGCGCGGCTCGGATTTCGGGTTGAAGTTATTCGTACAACGATCTTGATGAACCTTTCATTCTTCTTCAAATTTCCAGATTAAGTTGCTTAGAAGCACATAGATTGCGCTTGTATCTCTTTTGGAGCTCAGCATGAGAACAAAGATCCCATTTCATGAAGGGTGTGGAATGTCGTTTCTTCCTCAATCATCGGAGTGCTAGTCCAGCGACATGTCTCTGTAGGACATGTATCTTTTGAGGGATCCATTGCCTTGCATTTGGTTAAAGCAGATCAGACATGGCATGTTCGCATAAGACCTTTTCGAAAATGCACCACATCGGTATTTCAGTCTGAGTTTTCGAGAAAAGAGTGAGTTGGAACATGGAACAATGTGAAAGCTTTGGACCGAGATGGATTTATATATACCACTAGCAATCCCAAACTAGCTAAAGCGACTAGGTACGCATGTCTAAAATCCAATATTGTGCGATGCGTTCTTGGGACTTGAGGAAAACGCCATTTACCGAGAGAGCATGTGTAAACACACACCGAACTCCGCTGCGACCAACGCCAAATGAATCAAGTCAAAAATTCGCGCGCTTTCGCCGTTACCTTCAACTCCCATTTGCAAGAACATCTTCCCAGACCGGCCAATAAGCATTCCCACCCGGCTCATCCATCTGCCAGATTAGACTCGGATTCCGCCTCATGACACCCTCGTACTCTCTTTTCAATTCCACCAGTCTCTCACTCAGAGCCCTCATCTCAGTGACCACTAGCCTTAGCTCTTTACCTTCCACAGTAGCAGGCGATATCTCACCCTTCAGATCTGACAACGGGCCAATGAGACGTGTGAGCGTGGGCGGTAGACTATACCGAAAAGAAGCTTCGACCCAGGCAGTGACCGCAATACGAGAAGCTAGAAAGGCGCTCAAGGCGGGTAGGTAGGCGAGTGTATCTGCTGAGGAGGTTGTGGTGTAGTGTGAAGAAGGGAGTAGAGCACGGCTCAAATGTATGGGCCAGCAGAGCGCTGCATACCGTAGGAAAGGTAAATGGGTATCAAAAGGTACGGTGCGGATACTATTCGCCCTCGAGCTGTTGTGTTGAGTTGGCATCGTTGGTATCGCGTGGGTGTGATTGTCTCCGTCCGATGAAGACAGGGACTTGTATCCACTGTCTACCGACGCGCTTGTCCTTTGGCTCGCACCACTACTGGTCGGCATGGTAGGTGGCATGGCTGGACTATGAGGCTGCAGAGCACCGAGAGGACGTTTTGGTATATCGTGAGCAAGATATGATAGACATCGTGCGGCGAGGTGGCCATGGACGCTGCTTGTATCGCAAAGACTGAACTCCGAGCCTTGAGATAGTGGATTGAGAAGATAATCGCGTATGGATTCGTGGGTGAAAGTAATTTTGTCGTTGGCAACGCAGAGAATACCACATGTCAGTTCCGGCAAGGCTTGTATGATATCGGTCGTATGCGGACCCTCGGGAACGTCGGGTTTGTATGTGTCCAGAGCAGCGCGTAGTGCCCCCGGACACATGCGGTTGATCGGGAAAGACAACCATCGAAATGTGTCGGCGATGACACGTTTCTTTGTCGGCGGATGGCGCGCTAATGCGTCAAACAGGATACGGAAGAGCGCCTCCAGGCCCTGTATTGAACGCACTCCCTGGAGGATATTCAGTCGCTCGTCCGACGACAGTAGCGGCGACTGAAGGAGTTTCAACAACATGTTAGCCCAGAGAAAATCCCCATCTGCCGTCCTCGCGACTTCCGACATAAGCCTTCGATCCATAGAGATACCGAAGAAGCCCTGATCTGCTAGGCGGTTCATTTCTGGTACCACAAACTGATCGATAGCGATAACGTTGTGTTGACCGATAAGCGAGAGAATGTGAGGAGCATCTGAAGCCCATTTCTGATACTCAAGTGGTATCTTCAAATTCGGTCTGCTGAAGAGGATGACTCTGGTGTCAGATCCACGACAGAGTCTTGCTAACGATGCGAGGAGCGTATCAGTATCGCTGCACTCATCGATGCCATCAAGTACAAGGAAAGTGGGGTGCTGCCGAAGTAGAAGCAGAAGAACATCGAGCACTTCATCAGAGGTGGCATGCTCTCGAAAGGATGTTTTCCGCAGTAAGAGGCTGACAGTATCCAAAGTTGATCGGTCGTGCCGACGAGCGTGAAGTAGCTGGCATGCCATAGCCCGGAAGGCATCTTCAGATTGGTTGTTCTCAGATAGGAGATGATTGAAATGATAGCTTGCAGTGGCCGGCGGTTCGTCGCACAGATCAGGATCGTCCGCTTCACCAGCTAGATTTTCAACGACTGAACGCGAGATGACGGTTTTCCCAAAGCCGGATTTTGCTGAGCTTTTGTCAGTTCATAGAAGACTTGAAGTATGTGCGCGGCGACCTACCCTGCACAAACAGCACGCGATGTTGCCAGTTGCCGACTAAAGCTTCCTGGTCATTTGCCATGCTGCTCTCAAAAGGCGAATTCCTCCATTGGGCGTATGCGGCGACACGCAAGAACCAAGCGCAGGACTCTTGATAAGGTTGCTGAGTGCTCGGAGACCTTGTGGCAATCGACATAGAAGACGATAGCCAATGCTGTACTTTCTCCACTCTCCTCAACCGCTTCGCGAGCCGTTGTTCATCTTGCTCCACACGATCGTTGACTACGGATCCGTTTTGACGCTGCAAAAAGTCGATATAACTTCTGCGGTGCTGTGAGATGTCCGCGTAGTATTGAGTCTGGTTCGCGGTTTCTGTTTCTAGCCACCTCCTGTGCTGGCCTAGCCGTGTTTCAAGGTGGGCAAACCGGGAATCGAAGGGTCGCCATAGTGTCTCACTGTGGAGGACGTTCGTACAACCGATGGATGTACTTTGTGTTCCACGACAGAAGATACGGTACAGCTCCAAGAACAGCTGTACAAGATCCGCGTATACGTAAGACAGAAGTGCAGCCAGATGACGGTCTCCAGCCTCGCCATGGGACTCGGCTCCGTTACGCTTGCAGATGTTGTAAACTTCCTGATAAGGTGGTATGATTTGCGAAATAGCTTCAAGAACATCGGCAATTTTCTCCAGGACAAGCACGCAGTCACCGCTCATCTGCTTCCGTATTAGTCCAAGTTGTATGTCAAATGTACTACATGCATACCTTGTAGACTACACGAACAGTTGCCCAGAAACAGCCTGCCCATTCTGGCTGCAATTCGACGCATGTGCCAAGCACATCGAAGTAGGGTGCAAAGGTGCGAATGAACAGTGTAAACTTTCGACTGCATACGACTAGTCTTCGGTCTGCCGACCCATTGCCAGCGGAAGTGCGACGGAGCTCTTCGAGCAGAAGTGTTGAGCTGATGTGATGATCGAAATGCTGACGATGTTCTTGCAGTATGGTGTTGTGTATTGCTTCTATGGCGTCATCAAAGAATGGATGGTCCAAGCTATGTAATGTTAGCTACATCCAAGCCATCAGTGGTAGACTAACCTCGAATCAACCATTGCTACGTCCATGTTTTGAGCCTATTGCGACAGTTCTTGGATGGAATCGAACTTGAGCGCAGACGTTCTCTCTGTAACAAATGCATTGGCACAGAATATTAAAATGCACGTTGAACAATTTAGAGCGACGGCCACGTTGTAAAGACATGGAAGCGACAGGGGCAGCGGTGTGTTAATGTAATAAGCATTCAACGTGCTCGTTCTGATGGGACCCAAACGAGAGCAATTACGGCCCTGCATGGAGCCACGGGAGAAGAAATGGGCGTCGTGGGGCTGAAAGGTCGCGGGAGATAAGCGGGATGTGTAAGAACATGGTGAGTGAGTACCCGTCGCCACGCATGTCATGCCCCGGACACAAGGGAATTGACAGGCGTGGGGGAGCAGGCTTGAAAACGTGGGCGAGACGACAGGCCCATGCGGCAAGTCGCAAGTGGCAGATCGGAGCTGCATGCCGACGGGCGGGTAATCCCTTGTTCGTAATGAGTAAAAGAAACTCAAAAGGAACGTCTTTCAAGCGAGGCGTGGATCATGAACGAATAACATCTTGGGTATCTCCTCCAACGAGCTACATAGCCAACTGCTCGGC